AGGGAAATCCAGCAATGAAAGCATCAAACTTGTTTTCACAGTTTGCGGAAAGTTATCATCAGGGTAGATTGGCCTTCTGATATCCAGGGGCACAACACATCCCTTTCTGTCTTATGCAGAGGTTTTCATTCCCAAGTTTCCCTGGAGTTAAATACCGTCTAGTCATAGACATCACATTCATCCAGAAAACGCATGTGAATTGAAAGAATAAGATTAATGGATAGAGCTGATAATCCTTATTAATTTCCTCACTTGAAAAAAAAATGGCTTAGAGAAAGAGAAATAAAGGAGCATCGGGAGGGAGGAAACGGCTGTGATTTCAGCTGCGAGTATAATGAGATGGGAAGTCAATGAGGCAGAGAGGAGTGCAGGGTTGCTCCAGACATCAGTGGCCACAGCAGCAAAAAGGCCTTTTCACCTTTCTTGGATGGGTAAACTGAGGGGGGTCAGCATCAGAGATAGAAGGGTTCTGCATGAGGCCACAAGGACATAAAACAATGCTGGAGAATGCTCACTAGATACACAAATCCTGGTGCCGCTAAAATGTGCGTCTTCCCAGCTTCTATCTTTTCCCAGTGTCTAACTCTCCGGCCACATGGCTGAGGCTGATAAGAGAGCACTCCAGTGCAGGAGATAAGCTAGACATTGACTTTTGTCTCTGCTTTTCCCCATTGCCTTCCTTTATCATGTTTTGCCTGTGCTGGAGATGAGAGAGATCACATCCCAGGCCTCAGACAGATGTCCAGAATGAGGAAGATAGCTTTTTATCAGATGCTGTTTCCATAATTGCCCATCATCCAAAATTTTTGCTACTGTGCAAATCATGGACCTATCGATGATAGGCTTTTGTGAAGCAAGAGGAGAAAACTGAGTGCTAATGACATATTTATAATCACATTTTAAATAATAGCCTCAGGAGAATGTGGATGTCAATCCATTTGGAGAATTTTAGAGAAATCCAGAAGTTAATGAGACAAGCCCTGCTAATGGACTAATCAGTCCATTGAATATATCTTTATGCATCTTGTTGATAAAACAGTTGCGTTGACTGTATGTGGCTTTATTTTAAATCACAACTATGAAGGAGTTCTGTTGTTTGTAATCAACAAAGAAGAACTGACAAGAATTAGCTTTGTCCATGCCATCTTTAGACAATCATCACTTTTTGAATCCAGGGCAAATCACTCAGTGGAGTGTCCTATTTTCTCATTTTTGCCCTGTCTTTTGTAATCATCAGCCATTTGTCACTGATACTATTATGAATGTTGGCATGCCTGGCGGATGTCATGGTATGACTGATTCTCAGGACGACTACAACAAAAGAGGACTTCTAGCAGCATGAGTGTAAACGAGAAGTAACCTGTCTGAATTGCTTTGGGTTGCAGTAGCATTTTAGCTTGCAAAAATATTGAAAGCAGAGAAGAAATCAATGTCCAGATTGCAAACCACATTTGTAATTTTTTATATAGTATGTTTAAAGGAGGATTTGTAGGGTATGTTTTAAGAAATATCAAAACGTAAAGTAGTCTTCATGGTTAGAGGAATGCTTTAATAGTGTGTGTGTGTGTGTGTGTGTGTGTGTGTGTGTGTGTGTGTGTGTTCTTGCATATACACATGTGTGTACATGTTGGATTTCTACTTACGAATTTCCTGTCACTGACAGATCTTTCACGCTCCTTTAGCTAGAGAAATCATGTGTTTGAGAGGCATTCATTTTCACTGGAGGTAATCCTGATTCTGGTATTCCATTTCATTCAGGGCATCCCAGATACTTCAATCAACTTTCCACTGGATTGGATATGGTGGGATTAGCAGCAGACTGGCTGACATCAACAGCAAATACTAACATGTAAGTAGCCAAATGTATTTTTATGTAATTTAGGATAATTATTAGAGACATTCCATAGTCTTTACCTCTTATGTGAAAATCTGTTTTTATTAAGTTGCCACTAAAATAGTGATACAAACTTCTGAAGTGTAAGTGTTCACTTTAATGTAACATAAAGTAGTCCTGATATATCTTCCATGTAATCAAACGCTACAAAATTTTTAAAACACAAAAGAGACTTTTTTCTGACATTTTTGATTTATTATTATGCATAATGTCAAAGACAAATGGGACCAGATATTATCCTTTAAATCATGTTACTCTGCAATATTTTTTATTTATTTAATACAATAAATTCCCCGTGTGTCTTAGGTCAATAATTGGAGCTCTTGATTTTAGGGATATAGAGAAAATAAACAAACCTTTGGAAGGCCTTTTTGAAATAATTTTCTCTCTACTTAATGTCATAATCTTAACACTTATAAATGTATGTTTTGAAAAAGTAAATAGTTCTGTAGCTATTGTAATGATTGTAAATTATTTCTTTGAGTGACAAAGGTAAAATGTGGCCATAACTACATTTCAGGTTCACCTATGAAATTGCCCCAGTATTTGTGCTTTTGGAATATGTCACCCTAAAGAAAATGAGAGAAATCATTGGCTGGCCAGGGGGCTCTGGCGATGGAATATTTTCTCCAGGTACATGATATTTCAACTTTCTTTGTGGTTTTTCTTCTAAAATACAATGCCTTGTTGTAAGCCTGGGGAAGATTAAATATTTAGCCTGTGTCTCTGCTCAGATTAAATAGACTGTGTGTTGATCAAAAGAATGAATGTGATTAAATGCACATGACCACTGGACATGCCTCCAAGCTAAGTAACCCATGCTTGAACATCAGTTATTTGTGTCCAAAAAGAGCATAATCAGAGATGGTACTTACCCAGTGCTTCTACTGTGATCCTATAAGCAGGATGTATGGATAACGTGGAACAAAGGAATCAAGATTTCTAATCAGGAAATTAACTCTCTGACGCTCTTCCTAGAATTAGTGAAAGGAAACAGGTAGCCTCATTTATTAAAGCATTTGCTGTTCAAGGTTGCCTAGCAAGGTAAGTCTACTCAATAGAGCATATGGACCGCGGTATTTTTGAAATAACAAGCAACAAAGTGGACTTACGCTAATTTCAAGGAGGACAGAGAATGCCTTGGGAGAGAATTTCTTAGAGCAAAAAATAAAAAAAAGAGGGTTATGATTTCTTCAAGAGCTTTCTCATCCCTTCTCTTTTTTGTCATGATATTCAGTCTTTTCCATTCTGCCTTTTATCACCAGCCATTGCATTCTAAGCTCCATTATTTACACCTCTTCCAGCCCAGAGGATCAACCTGAAACAAAAAGCTATGCCCTCGGTTTATGATTCTGTGTATGACCTTGGTTTGATGCAGAAAAGGAATAGAAGTCAGTAAGGCAGTGGAAAGAGTCACTGATTCATGGAAAAAAACCCATCAGCTAATCAGTGGCAGGAGCGGGAGTCATTAGTCCACTGAGACAGGACCCACCTGGGAGAGAGGCCAGAGCCATACCTGTCGTTGTGTCAGACAGTGCATAAGGCCAAGTGGTTGTGATCTTTCTTTAGCAAATCTACAAAGACAAGCAGATGATGAGAGAGAGGGAGGAAGAAAAGAATGAGTGGAAAGAAGAAATGATAAATAAGCAAGAGTGGTCCCAAGACCAGGCTTAAGTTAAGCATGTTTGCCTGCAAGCTGTGTTCGGCTATTTTACTTTATGTCTTTAAATATATAGCACAATTTTTCAGGTGCTGAAAGAAAAGGTGTTAGTTAAATGGAAGGGAAAATTAGCCTTTTTAAACGTCATTGAACAACAGCTGTGATTAATTTTAACCTAGCCTTTATTTTGTAGGGCACTTAGTACTTAGTTTTCTGCTGGAAAACCATCCCTGTTGGGGGAGCTTGCCTGATGCTTTGGAAACATTTTTCATGAGGAATGAAGTGGGATACAGAGATCCTCATCATTTCTACCTTTCTTCTTCCTACCCTTGTGTGGTTGGTTTTAGGATTGATCTGTCCCTGAGATGAACCAAGAACATGCTGGGCTCTGTTTTTTTCTTTTATTTGAATTTATTTTATGCTGAATTTATTTCCATGCCATAAGTTTTAATGGTCCCCAGGAGCACAGAGAGAACAGCTGTACATGTTGATCCTGAACATTGACTAATTTGAATAAGAGCCAGGCCCAATTTACCTGGCTGGTCTGAAAAACCTACATGCCCCAGAAAACATATACCCAGAGAAAGAATTCTCTTTGGCAGTTCTGCAAGGCCAGGTATGGACTTAGAGCTTACCCTCCACACTTATTGACGATGGGGGATTTTCACGTGAAGACTTCAGCTTGAGTATGGAAATTATAGGATTCCTTGGAAACTAAAGACCCATTTGCTCTTACCCCAAGATGCAAGCCATAGATATCACACTACAGTGCAATGCAGACATTGCAAAGTGGGGAGAAGACAGCAGAGAAGGTCATTGCAACCTGTTTTTGCTCTACTTTCTACAAGACATCACAGAGGAGAAGTGGCTCATCATATCCTTACTCGCTATGGATGCTATTCTCAGGAACATCCAGCCTTGCTCCTGCAGTAAAGGGTCTTACAATTTAAGAGTGGGGATAGAGAAAGCCACACATCTTGTGGGTCTGGGATCTAAAAGTCACATTCCCTGGGATTCAACGTGAAGGGTTAGATCTGTGACTTAAAACATACCGCTTTACACCTATATCAATAATATTCAAAGGCATCATGCTTTGTGGAAAGTCTTTTAGGACTCCTAAAAGAAATCTGCCTTTGTGGTGTCACTTACCCTGGGAACCAGAGAAGTACAGAGCACTCCTTACTGCTCATCAAGTCACAAAGCACAAAGACTAAGGAGGAGCTAGGAAAGAAAGCTTGGCTTGGTCATAGACCTTTTCCTAGCTAAAAGGGTTTTCATAATATTTCAGCACTTGCTTTTATTTATTTTATTTTTTTTTTTTTTTTGAGACAGAGTCTCACTCTGTCACCCAGGCTGGAGTGCAGTGGTATGATCTCGGCTCACTGCAACCTCCACCTCCCGGGTTCAAGCAATTCCTGTGCCTCAGCCTCCCCAGTAGCTGGGATTACAGGTACGTGCCATCATGCCCAGCCAATTTTTGTATTTTTAGTAGAGATTGGGTTTCGCCATGTTGGCCAGGTGTTGAATTCCTGACCTCAGGTGACTCACCCACACCTTACTCTCCCAAAGTAGCACTTGCTTTTACATCCTTTTTTGAAGATTCGTAGGAAATAAGAGCTCACGCATCTGTTCTCATGCCTCTGTTACACAAAACGGTCTTCTCTGCCCAGAGGCCCAGAAGCTTCTTCCTCCCACTCAGGGCTGCTGAGCCTTTAGCCAGAGGACAGCTGAGCTGCAGAGTGAGGCGTAGGAGGGCAGAGCTGGAAGCCTCAGGAGAACTGCATGTGAAGAGCACTTTCTTTGGGTACATCTTCCCCTTTTTCTTCTTCCCTCCTTCCTTCTCCAGCCTCTTTAAGAACAACTAAAGCTGGCTGGTCCAAAGGTAGTGAGTTATGCCAATTGATCGTTCACAATCAGTTACAGATCGAACGCCTTGTTCTACTCTTTCCCCCCTTCTCACTACTGCACTTGACTAGTCTTAAAAAAAAAAAACAAAGAAAGAAAAATAAATAAATAAGAGCAACTAAAGCTGCAATTCTCAAATGAGGTCATTTTGCCTTCCCCAAGGGACATATGGCAAAATCTATAGATAATTTTGATTGTCTGGGGGAGGGAGTGCTATGGGCATCCAGTGGGTAGAAACCAGGGATGCTGCTCGACACCTTGCAATGCCCCAGTCAGTCCTTACCACAGTTATGTTGCCCAAAATGTCAGTAAGTGCCAAGACCATGAGCTGGAATGGAATTTCCTTTCTAAGCGGACCCTGCTTCCAGCCACCTACAGTCAGCCTTTTAGACAGGGTGTCTGCTCAGAGCAGGTGTGACCTGGATTCTACTTATCCTGTGTCTCTGGGGTCTAGGAAGGAAGGAATCGCCCTCATTCTGACTAAGGACAGAGCCAGGATCTGGGTGATGAGTGCTCTGTGCCAGGCGGCCTGCTTGGTCAGAGCCCAGGGCTGGAGAGGCAAAGGGCATGGCCTTGCATGGGCCATTCAGCTTGACACAGAGCCCTCTTCCTCCTCAGCCACCAGGAAGGAAAGCAACTCGGAGCACTCATGTGATGGCAGGGCCTGGGGTGTCCCCTTCGCCATAGAAGGGAGAAGCAGTACCTTCACTCTGCCTCATGGCCTCATGCCTTCCACACCAGTGTATTAATTTGCATTCATAACAATCTGTCTCTTATGAATTGCAAAAATCCTAAACTTCCCAACAGCCCTGGGTTTTCTTTGCTTGTCAAGTGAGACTCTACTTATAAGACACGAATCTTATGGCGTGGAATCCCTGACAACCTTAGGATGACATAGAAAAGTGATGCAATATGGACTGAAAATTCTTAGTTGTGTGTTTTTCTATAATTATGAAATAAGTTTTGTTACCTAATACAATTCTATTTCAATGATGTCTTTGCAAGGGAAGACCTGTTTAGAGGGGATGAACAGATGAGTATGATGAGATGGACTTGGAGGTTGATCCTTTATAACAGGGGTCCCCAGCCCCCTGTGGTGGATCCCTAACGGGGTCTGTGGTCTATTAGGAACCAAGCGCACAGCAGGAGGTGAGCAGGGGGCCCCCAACATTACCGCCTGAGCTCCGCCTCCTGTCAGGCCAGCAGCCACATTAGATTCTCACTGGAGCCTGAATCCATGAACTGCGCATGCAAGGGATCTAGGTTACATGCTCCTCATGAGAATCTAACAACTAATGATCTGAGGTAGAACAGTTTCATCCCAAAACCATTCTCCACCCCACCCCACCAGCTCCTGACTCGCTGTTAAGTGGAAAAATTATCTTGCAGGAAATGCAGCACTGCTGCCAAAAATGTTGGGGACTACTCGGTAAGAATTGTTTATTAAGCCGGGCATGGTGGCTCACGCCTGTAATCCCAGCACTTTGGGAGGCCAAGGCGAGCAGATCACGAGGTCAAGAGATCGAGACCATCCTGGCCAACATGGTGAAACCCTGTCTCTACTAAAAATACAAAAATAAATAAATAAATAAAATTAGCCAGGCGTGGTGGTACATGCCTGTGGTCCCAGCTTCTTGGGAGGCTGGGACAGGAGAATCACTTGAACCCAGGAGATGGAGGTCTCAGTGAGCTGAGATCATGCTACTGCACTCCAGCCTGGGTGACAGAGTGAGACCCTGTCTCAAGTTACAAAAAAAAAAAAAAGAAAGAAAGAAAGATAAAAGAATTGTTGATTAATAGCTCATACCAGTAACCGAGTAACAGCTGATTTATCTTAATCCAAGTGCAAGGCACTGTATGAGTTGAAATGAAAAAAAATAATAATAAGTTTTCTTCATCTGGATATACGTAGGATTTTACATACCCAACACAGAATGACCACACTCACAAGCTGGGACGGGAGGCAAACCGTTTTATTTTGAATAAAAACAAACAAACAAAAACAAACCTCTTCAAAGGGCTCCCAGCAAGAGCAGAATCCTTTGCAGTTCCCCTGAGTGACTGAGATGGGGTGTGGCGTGTGGCACCTGTCCTGTCCCAGTGTGCCCTCTTGGGTAGCGCCTGTGAGTCTGAGGATTCAGTTTAAAGAAAGCCAATAGGGTTTTCTCCTGAGTCCAAGAAGGACTCATATCACTGGAAGTAGGGAATGTGGCTTGCATGTGAAATGAGGTCCCTAATACATAAAGTAACTGTGTGTTGCTATGCACTCTAGGTGGCGCCATATCTAACATGTATGCCATGATGATCGCGCGCTTTAAGATGTTCCCGGAAGTCAAGGAGAAAGGAATGGCTGCTGTTCCCAGGCTCATTGCCTTCACGTCTGAGCATGTATGTGTTTCTGTTCTCCAAATTTAAGGTTATGTTCTGTAAAGCCCAAGTTGAAGGAATGATGGCTGGAAATGCATTATCCCCAGAGGTCCTCTTTCTAGGAGACACCTTGGGAGAGAATAAGGGAGAAAGCTGAGTGGTACTATGGGGTGCCCTCCTTGACTCTTTGAAATTCAAGAAAACCCTCGAAGATAAGGAGGCATCCTGGGCAACATAGTGAGACCCCATCTTCACAGAAAATTTAAAAAATTAGCTGGGCGTGGTGCCTAAAGCTATGATCCCAAGACACTGAGGTGGGAGAATTACTTGAGCTCAGGAGGTCAAGACTACAGGGAGCTGTGATTGTACCCTTCCCTTCTGTGCAATCAAGTTGCATGTTCGGGGAAGGGTAAGAGGAGGAGAAAAGGCAAAGGGACTACAGACTCATTTGGACCATTGTAGGCCCGTATAATGAAAACTCCAGAGTAGCCTTTGAGACAGTTTTTCTGTTTAAAAACTCAGCCCACTGATCTGAGATATTCTGCCCTCATGGTGCCTTGAGCCTTTCTTTTTTTCTTTTTTTTTGACAGTCTTGCTTTGTCACCCAGACTGTAGTGCAGCGGTGCAGTCACATCTCACTGCAGCCTCAGCCTCTTAGGTTCAAGTGATCCTCCCACCTCAGCCTCCTGGATAGCTGGGACTTCAGATGTGTGTTATCATAGCTGACTAGTTTTTCTATTTTTTGTAGAGCCAGGGTCTTGCAATGTTGGCTAGGCTGGTCTCAAACTCCTGGTCTCAAGTGATCCTACCACTTTGGCCTCCCAAAATGCTGAGATTACAGGTGTGAGCCACCATCATACTAAGCCTGAACCATTTAACATTCATCTTTGACTAACTTGACCAGAGGTTTCTTTTTTTTCTTTTACCATAAAATAATAGCACCCGGCTGGGCTCGGTGGCTTACACCTGTAATCCCAGCACTTTGGAAGGCCTAGGCAGGCAGAGCACTTGAAATCAGGAGTTTGAGACCCACCTGGCCAACATGGTGAAACCCTGTCTCTACTAAAAATACAAAAATTAGCCAAGTGTAGTGGCACATACTTGTAATCCCAGCTTCTCAGGAGGCTGAGACAGGAGAATCGCCTCTTGAACCTGGGAGGCAGAGGTTGCAGTGAGACGAGATCACATCACTGCATTCCAGCCTGGGCAATGGAGTGACACTCCATTCTCAAAAAAAAGAAAAAAAAAAAAAGCAAAGCGTAAGACTGTTCTTTAATGATCTCTGCCTCACAGTAGCCTGGGGTTTGTAATACAGCTGCCTCAGAGACAATCAGGAAACCCACTGATGGCCAGGGAACTAAGAGACAGGGAAGGAGGAAGGGTCTAGAGGGAGACTCAGGGCTCCTGTAAGGAGATGTCACTCAGGAGACGCAGGGAACTGTGATGGGCCTCAGGTCCAGATCCACCGTGGAATTTCTCTGTTTTCCATTTTAAGTGAGGTGAGTGTGTGTCTGTGGGTGTCTATGTGTGTGTGTCTGTAAGGTGTGTATCTGTATGTGTCTATGACAAGGAAACAGAGTGGAAACCAGCAGATACAGTCCATTACCACAGTAGTGGCCATGGAATTAAAGGAAACTAGCAATTCTATGTTAACATATATCAGAGCATCTTGTTTTCAGTCATGTTTTGGGGTTTTATTATTTTGTTAAATGCCCTTCCTCAGTATATGGAGGTCACACTGAGCAAAGCCTAAAATTACTTAGTATTTTACCTTTCTATTGCTGCTGGAACAAATGATCCCAAACTTGGTGGCTCACCATAACATGCATTGATTATCTTATAGTTCTGGGGTCAGAATCTAAAATGGGGAAAGCAGGGCTTCATTCTTCCTGGAGGTTCTCTGGGAGAATCCATTTCCAGCTTCTAGAGGCCACCTACATTTTTTGGTTCATCTTCAGAAGCAGCAGCCTAGCATCTTCGGATCTCTCTCTATAGATAGATGGATAGATAGACAGACAGACAGACAGACAGACAGACAGATAGATAGATAGATAGATAGATAGATAGATAATAGATAGGTAGATAGATAATAGATAGATAGATACATCTGACCTCTGCTTCCACCACCATATCTCTTTCTGTCTGTGGCTCTCCTGCCTCCCCCTGTTGGACCCATTCAGATAATCCAGGATAATCCCCCATCTCAAGACCCTTAACCAAATCACATCTGCAAAGTCCCTTTTGCCATGTAAAGTAACATATTCACAGTGTTGAAGATGAAGATGTGATTTCTGTGGCAGGGAGTATCTGTTATTCAGCCCATCCTACCTAGTACCCCACCAGGAGATTACTTCCATTTCTCAGCTTCTCGAAAGATAGAAAAATGTGATCTATTTTTCTCCTCAATTACTATTTTCCTGGAATGGGTTCAGACCCCTAAATAGTTACATGTCACTGCATTATCAGCCTCAAAAAGTCCAAATGATCTTTTATTGGGCATCTTTTTCTTTTGGTTTCCAGGCTGTGTCCACAAGTTAAAATGAGTTGGGTCCAGCAGCAAGCCACTCTGTGCTGTCAGCCAGGCATCTGGGCATGAGCTTCTCAGCCTCATGCTTTATGTAAATTGACTGAGCGTTGCCCAGAAAGGTCAAGCTATGTGGTCTGAGGATCTGAAAATAATAATTTTGCTATACCTTCTTTTCCTGATACTGTAAATCAGAGTCTACTTCTTTCTTTCTCTTTCTTTCTTTTTCTTTCTTTCTTTCTTTCTTTTTTTTTTTAATTTTTTATTGGATTTTAGGTTTTGGGGTACATGAGCAGAGCATGCAAGACAGTTGCATAGGAACACACATGGCAGTGTGCTTTTCTTTCCTTCTCCCCTTCACCCACATTTGGCATTTCTCCCCAGGCTATCCCTCCCCACCTCCCCCTCCCACTGGCCCTCCCCTTTTCCCCCCAATAGACCCCAGTGTTTAGTACTCCCCTTTCTGTGTCCATGTGTTCTCATTTTTCATCACCCGCCTATGAGTGAGAATATGCGGTGTTTCATTTTCTGTTCTTGTGTCAGTTTGCTGAGGATGACGTTCTCCAGATTCATCCATGTTTTCTTTCTTTCTTTCTTTCTTTCTTTTTCTTTCTTTCTTTCTTTCTTCTTTTGTTCTTTCTCTCTCTCTCTTTCTTTCTCCTTCCTTCCTCCCTTTTTCTTTCTTTCGTCTCTCTCACTCTTTCTTTCTTTCTTTTCTTGACAGACTCCAGATCTCTGGAGTGCAGTGGTGCCATCTCGCCTCACTGCAACCTCCATCTCTGAGGTTCAAGCAATTCTCCTGACTCAGCCTCTGGTGCAGAGTAGCTGTATACTACAGGAACATGTCACCATGCCTGGCCAATTTTTGTGTTTTTAGTAGGACAGGGTTTCACCCTGTTGGCCATGCTGGTCTTAAACTTCTGACCTCAGGTGATCCATCCACCTCGACCTCCCAAAGTGCTGGGACCACAGGCATGAGCCACCACACCTGGACAGCTTCTTCATTTCTGAGAAAGAAACACAACTAGGCCATATAACAAGGATTTGATTCTCCCTTCTTCCTGCATCTCATCCATGCATATAATTATGAAAGATCACTTGAATTATGAAGCTTTCCTAAACTACCAATAGGTTCTAACCTTAGCCTATCATTTGGGTTATCATCGCCTTCTCATTTTTGACAAATGGATTGTTTTTTAATATATAATACCTAATATCTGACTACTATATGACAGTTTCCAAAACACTCTTAACATATGGAACTTTGATTCTCACAGCAACCTTATGGGACAAGTAGAACAGAGATTGTCATCAGCATTTTACAAATGAAGAAGCTGAAATTAGCTAGGGAGGTGGAGCCAGGATCAAACTGAGATTGTCATCAGCATTTTACAAATGAAGAAGCTGAAATTAGCTAGGGAGGTGGAGCCAGGATCAAACTGGGTTTACTGGTCGAAGACTAGTGAGGTCCATGCATGGACTACCACTGTAGAAACCAGATTAAAAGGTTCCGCCACAGAGCTTTGTATACAGCAGCTCATCAACAGACTTAACATCTTATATCTTCCCTGATCAAATTTCCACCAAGAGCTATTTTCTTAATGTGAAATCGATGCTAATTTGTGACTCTCTCTTTCTACCAAAAACATTGTCATCATCTCACAGGGCTGGGCTGGAGGGGGTTTTGGAGCTCATTTAAAGCCACTGTGTCTCCTTGAACACTTGACCTTAACCATCCTGGACAGGTGAGCTCTTAAAAGTGAGCCCCGCCTTTGAAGCTGCAGGTTAAGAGGTAACATGGTCCCCAACTAGTTCCTTCTGGGCTCTAGACCTCAGACATTATTTTCAACTCATCATTTAGTGTAGCTTCCTTCTGGCTTCAGGCCAGGCCATATACTCCCTAGGTCTTTTCAGATTTTACAATCATACTGTCTCCACCAGCTCCAGAAATAGAACTCCAGAGACATTAGGAAGAAAATTACCAAATCATTTCTCAAATGCCTTTTCTCCGTCTGGACAGCCTCAGTCCTGGCATGGAGGCTTCTTTCCTCAGTGGCTTGGCTGGCAGGGAGAAAGGGTGATGGAGGAGCTGCTCTGTTGACTCAGTGAGGAGAGGGAGGCCAGGGGTTAAAACAGACACTGCTTCGGGTGTTCTCTCTTCACGCATTTTGAGAGGCTTCCAAGGCTCAAGACTCCTGGAAAATCAAATGAGAACCTTGTAAAACTCATGTCTCAGTGCCTGGGATACAGGGAGCTCTGCATAAATACCAGTCAACTTTAAAAAACAACAACCTTAGCCGGGCTGGGTGGCTCACGCCTGTAGTACCAGCACTTTGGGAGGCCGAGGCAGGTGGATCACTTGAGGTCAGGCATTTGAGACCAGCCTAGCCAACATGGTGAAACTCTGTCTGTACTAAAAATACAAAAATTAGCCAGGCATGGTGGTGAGCACCTATAATCCCAGCTACTTGGGAGGCTGAGGTAGGAGAATCACTGG